TGAAATATATAGATGTTGTCGATTTGATTATAAAATTTTAAATTAAAATAATTAAGCAAACGAATTATTTTGTCTGTTTCTCAATAACAATTCAAAGTAAGCCAATTATTTTACTGGAAACTTTAAATTGTTTCTTTATTAAATTATATCAACCATCAGGATGAAAATATTGCGAATAAACGTAAAAAAGGTTATACGAGAAAGAAACATATGAAGAATCATAAATGAATGTGCAATGATGCACTAACTAGCATGTACCATGTTGGATGGATCATGATTAAGATTAAAAATCATACAATCTTTCCCGAATGAGTAGGTGGGGTGTTATCATTTCATATAAAAAATTGTATATGTTGCTAATTGTTTAGCAATGTACTCACGGAAATCCTATACAAATGTGCGCTAATAAAGTGCTTTACCAAAGATCGCTAACAAAGAATGCTTTATCTGCATGAGCTAACAAAGACGCTAATTCTAATCAAAAAGCCAATCCTCAATGTATATATAAATTCTACAGATAACAGAAGGACATTGTTCCTTCTATTATCCGGATTGGTGTCTTTGACATTATTTTGTAGCGACGTTTATGAAATTAGATTAATGCGTTAATTTGTTTTTTGCAATGATTGGTGTCTTTGGTATTATCTTGCAGTCAAATTTATGCAATTAGATTAATGGATTAATTTGTGTTTTATAATTTTTAATAATTATGCGACATGAATACTGTTCCTGTTATCTAATGATTTAATTATCCAAATTTGAGGTGATAATAAAGAATTTTCGACTTTGTGTCACCTTGCGCAAAAAGTTCATAAGAATTCAAAAGAAAATAATTTTTTCCTCTTTAGAAAACGTATCTCATTAAGTGCTGTCTACGCTTAACCATCAATAATTGCGATGGTACGGATAGGATATGACAATTATAAGATACACAATATAATTGATATACAATATAATTAAGTATTAAAATATATAATATGAATAAGTTATACAATACAATATAATAAATTAAATAAGACATACGGTATAATTACAAATAAGGCATACACTATAATCGAATAAGATATACAATGTAATTCAATTATATCAGATATAATACCACATATTCGTGCATCTTTTAGTTTTATTGCTTGAAAGATGCAAATTATGTTTTATGAGTTTTCATCACTCCTTTTGCTAAATTGTTTCTATACTTTTCACTCATTTACAATATTTTTTCAGAAATGAAATAATTTGAAATGAATTGAATTGTTGGATTATTTAATGATTTCATATTTTTTTTCCGATGTTCTCACGATGTTTCATTTAGTTCCATCCTAAATGTATTCCAGAAAATGTATTTCATCCTAAATTTATTTCAGAAAATGTATTTAATCCTAAATGTATTTCAATTACATCCTAAATGTAAAAATGTATTTCAGGGAAATGGAAGAATGTGGGATTCTTTTTAAATATTAATTTTTAACTTTAAATTAATTGAAGCTTGCGAATGAATTCTTTCATTCCAACATTCCTATGGCTTACCATACATGTTTGATACTTTCATTTTTCAGTTGAATTGCTATACTTCCTTTGAATTAGCTAAATCGTACAATATTCTAAACTGTGTTGCCTTCTTCAGAAGTATTCCCACCTGTAATTATAGGTTCAATACGTGAGAAATTGAAATTTGATTTAAAAACTTTGTCATTCTTCTGCTGGAAAATGTTGCCATTTTCCATTAACAGCTTTTAAAAATTTATCGAAATAATTCATAAAGGAAGCTAAATGCAGATAAAGTCTTTACAGTTATTTCAAAAATATTGTCAACGATTAGATATTCAAGAAATTAATTATGCAATGAAATTTCCAGCATTTTTTAATTGCAATTTTAGGAAAACGATAAATTGATTCGTTTTTAGATTGGTGCTTTGGTATTAGCATTTATAATCATACCCAAACATTGCTTACCAACTACAATTTACCAACATCATTTAAACATTTTCTAGCTCAATAAATAGCTGAAAAGATAGGCAGAGCAGGAAAAAAGTAGAAAGAAATATTTCCCTGACAGTTTTTCTTCTTTAAAAAAATTGAATAAAAGTTCGAAAGTCAACCAAGCTTTGAGTTGTTGCAGTGAGAAGATGATATTAGTTAGTAATTATTTCACAGTAAAATAAGCGAATTATTAAACAGAACATTAAATATTTCAATAAAAGAAAAGGAAATTATGAACTTCATTTCCTCGTTCATTTCGATTTTCTTTTATTTT